CCTGGCGAGGCTAGGGGCCCTGCGTCCGCCTCAGTCTGCGCAGCAACCTCCTCTGTTTTCGGTCTCTGTGTGTTTCTTGGTCTTCCTCTCTTCTTTGCCTGTGTGTGTGTGTTTCTGTCGGTGTCCCTCTCTGTCTCTGTCTCTCCCTTTCTCCGTTGGAGTCTTTCCCTCCCATTTATCTCTCCTCTCTGTCACTTTCTCCCTCAGAGCCTTCTCTCCCCATCTCTGGATCTGGATCTTTCTGCATCGCCATTAGTCATTTCCCCAACTCCTCTGTTTTCCCTAGAGTCTCAGGGGTCAGCCTCGCCATGTCTGTTTTTCTGTGTATCCTTTTTTCCTTTCTCTTCCTCCTGTCTCTTGCCGATGCCCAGCCCCCTCACTGTCCTTCAGTTCACTTACTCTGTCTCCATCACTGTCTCTGTCTCAGTTTCCCCTCTCTATCTCAGAAACTGTCTCTCTGTCCCTCTCTGTCATTGCCTCTGGGCCTTCCCATCATCCCCAATTTAGGGCCACAGACTCCAAATCTCACTTCTATAAGTCCACTCCCAGAGAACAGATGTGGTCATAGGCAGAATTCAGTACCAGTCCCACCAGATAGTCCCCTGTATTTGGGGGACTCAAGTATGCATAAATAAAGTTACCTAGGTCCCTGGTCCCCTGTGTGTCCCCCTCTGCTTAGGCACATGGCCTGGGATGGGGCCCTCCCAAGACATTTCTTGTTTCTTTCAGGGGCAGCCAAGACTGGCTACCTGGTGCCAGGTGTGGGGAGTGGGCAGGGGCTGGGGGATGAGGGGCTGGGGTCCTGGGCTCCTGGGCCCCAGAAGAGGAACAGGGGTGGTCCCCACGAGATCCATGACTCCTGCCAAGGTCTGCAGTTGGGAAGGATTTATTATCACTAAGTGGCCATGACAGAGCAGGGAGGGGGGAAGTGACACTAACAAAGCTGCTACAATCAGCTCCCCTAGAGGCAGCGATTAAGGGCTCATTACCTGCTGGTTGTGGGGGAACCTGGGAAAGGTGGCAGGGGGAGGATTGTTAGGGTGTGTGGAGGGTTTGAGAACAGTCTAGAAGGAAGTTGAGTCAGGACACTCCCAGGAAAGACTGTGAAAAGAGAGCGGGTTCCAGGGAAGTGTGGTAAGACAAGGGCTGGGCGCACAGCCGGCAGGGTGGCCCCTGCTGGGTCACGGCTTCTCCAGCTGGACGTCCCCAATGTGAAGGCTGCCCACATCCTGGTAGGTGCCCTGGAGTCCTCTGGAGATGTCCTCGTACATGGAGCAGTCATCGAGGTTCAGGCCCTGGGGTGGAAACCGGGTGGTGGGCCTCACTGCCTGATGGCCAGGGCCCCGCCCCCAGCCGACTGCAGGAAGGAACCCCGTGTGGTCCCTCCCCAACAGCGCACCTGCCCTGAACCTGTCCCCACCTTCCACTCACCTCATAAAGATTTTCGTCTTCATAGTCATCCTGGATGTCCGCCCCGAATTTCATGTTCTGCCATCGTTTCTGTTGGGGGATTGGGAGCCCCCGTGAGTGGGGGGAGGGGATATGTTTTCAGACCCTC